GGCCCGAGCAGGCGTCCGCAGGGGAGCAAGCTGTCGGGAGGAGGGTTCGCCGATCCCGCGGCACAGCGGTTGGGGACCGTGCCCCTGCCCGCCGCGCGAGCCTGCTGCTGGACCCTCCGTTCGGACCCAAGCTAGAGGCCCCAGAACAGGGCCGTTGGGTCGGAACCGCATTCTCGAAGGCTTCACTGACTGCCCGAGCCTGCCGCTCCGCAGCTAAACGCAGGCCTCCGTGTGCAGCCTCCGCTGGCGCTTTCGGCAGATCCCGGCCAGGCGCTTTGCTAGCTTGGGGTTCGCGGACTCGCGCGAAGGGACGCCCCGCCCGAAAGCCCCGCCCCTAGAAGCCCCGCCCCCGCGCGAGTCCAGACCCTGCCGTTAACGCCTCACGCAGAAGTCCCGCCCTTTTTCGAACCCGCCTCGCCGTTAACGCCAAGGAGGCTCCGACCATTGGTCCACCCCGCGCAGGCCCCGCCCCGTCGCACGCCCGCGAGGCCAGGCCCCGCCTCCCGTCGCTGACCCTAAACCGCTTGCTTGCCCGGCGGGTAGCAGAACCACCACAGTTCCCGCCGACTCCAACTTCCACCATCTGAGCCCAAGCGACATGGCGGCGCCATCTAAGGCCGAGAACCTGTCCCTGGTGGTGCACGGCCCCGGGGACCTTCGCCTGGTAAAGGACGCAGGGGTCCCGCGGGGTCCGGCGGGCGGGGCGGCGGCCGCGGTGTCGCCGCCGGGAGGGCTCGGTCCTCCCCGGGACCGTTGCCGACGTTGCCCGCGGAGCGGAGCCTTCTGCGCTGCAGTTTCGGATGCAGCCCTGGGCGGACAGAGGCCCCCGATGGTTGAGGCCGCGAGTGTCCCCGTGCCCAGCGGCCCTCTTCCCCCGTTTCTCTCGTTTCCTTCCCTCGCATCAGGCTCCTCGCCCAGGCTTGTACTTTATTTGTATTATGTCCCCTGTGACCTAGGACTTTCTGTTTCTCAGCCCCAACTTCTGCCCCTGCCTACAGAGACCAAAGTCCAGGGAGCTGCTGAATCAGCCCTGTGCTCAGGCCGGTGTCCCCGTAACAAAGTTCAGCTCTGACAGGCCTGGGGTGGCTTTCACCATGCGGGACCTCTTTCTCCCATAAAGAACACAACCCAACTGCTCAGGAGGCCGGTCAGAAGGGTCGAAAGGTTGAGACTGGCCTGGGCAATTCAGTGACACCCGGGGGATGTAGTTCTGTGGTGGAGAACCTCAGGGTGCCATCTCTAGTGTTGTCAAGCAAAACAAGATAATACAGACATGCTCCAGGATCCAAACTGTAGGAGAGATTCAGATTATCCAGGTTAACAGCTCCTGACTGGTTGAGAATCTGTGGCTGTCTTTCCCCATGGTGCAAACAGACTATCTTTGGCAGCTACCATTCATTTCATTTGTGGGCCTTCCATGGGTCTGTGGACCCCAGACCAAGAACTCTTGCCCAGAGTAAGACTCCCATGCTAGCGTGGTTTCCACTCACTTTGGGGACTCTCCCCAAGGTCCTGAAGGAAGGTGATGATGCACTGCAGTACATGCCAGGCAGTCCACCAGGAAGGGAGAGGGTGACCTCTCTCCACAGCTTACAGAGAGATTTCCAACTTGCTTCATTTTACAAACATTTACCAAATGAGCTGTGCCTGCCCTGTACCCAGAGAGGGGGAGGACACAGCCGGGCTCACACACTTCCCAAGGGAGACAGGAGTAACTAATCACAGCCTGCCAGGGCTTTGATGGAAGCTGAAAAGATGGGCTGGAGCGAGTTCTTCAGTGGCTTCTCCTAAACTCACACTCTACCCTCAAGAGCAGACACCGGCCTGTGTTTCCATGGAGACAACCCCAAGAGGGACCATAAGGGCCACCAGCAGAGGCCTGTGCTGTCTCGGGCTACCTGCAACCTAGCACGGATCTGGGCCTTTGTAGACCTCAGATGGAGTCCCCTGTTCCAGCACCTTCCCAGGGTTCCCAAGTGAGGTATCTCTGCCTCTCAAACTCAGTGGCCTTGAACTCGCTATGTAGTCCAGGCTGGCTTCCAACTCGTGGTGATCCTCCTGCTTCAGCCTCCTGAATGCTGGGATTACAGGTATGCACCATGGCGCCCAGCTCAACCCTCTTCCTTAAGGCAGAGATAGCAAAGGGAGGAACAGTCCCAGGAAAGTTTTGGGGAGACAAAATGAAACCCACATTTGCTGAGACAAATAGATGAAGTCAGTGGCAGCTGCGGAACCTAGGCCAGGCTGGAGGTGAATAACGAGATTTGGGGTAGGGGGAAAACTACAAAATTTTCTCTTTCGAGAGGACAGCACCAGCCCACAGGAATTAAACATTGTGCCCTCCTGGGTGGGGCAGGGCAGGTTCACTGATTCAAGGCTTCCAGACCCTTCCTAGGTTGCCTTCTTGCTGTGGGTCATGCCCGGCATCCAGGGCTAATGCACCTGGGCCACGTGCCTCTGAAGCAGGAGGAAACACAGCCCCAGCCTCCTCCAGCTCACACAGAGTGCCGTGGCCAAGGAGAGCAAAGTCTGGTTCTTTCTGTGCAGGTGATGGGCACCTCAACCACTGCAGGGGATGGAGCCTTAGGGTACCAAGTAGAAGGGGGTGCACATAACACACCCAAATGTGTAGAAACTGGTGATTTTCTGTCAGAATGAGAAAGAAACATCTATGATGTAAGGAACAACCCCTCCCACTTTAGATAAAGCTGGGACTTCGTGGGGAAAGGAGACCGGGTTGAGGAGAGCAGCCTAGAGCCTCTCAGCAAATGCTGTCAGCTTGCCCAGGTCCTCTTCCAATGGGCACCAACATGGGGTCAAAGCCAAGTCGGACCCAGTGGGATTTAGTACCCACTTTGAGGCCGCTATGAATTGTGGGAGTCAATAAATTATCTCCTGCTTCAAATTCCTGGTCTTGTGCAGGGGCATTAAGCATGTGAAAGGGCTGAGGGCTAGCGTGGAGGTAGGCAGTGGCCACCCACGAGTATCTGATGCTGAGACATCTCGGCAGGAAAAGACCATAAAGACCATGACACTCAGCCACAGGGACAGTTCTCAGTCACACTGTGGCGATGCTAGCCTGGTGACTCCTTGTAGTTCCCTGGAGACAGCTTGCTTTATGCCTCTTTGGTCAGTCTTGAGAAATCCAGAGGTTGCTTTTTATTGGAGACTAAATTACCAGTTCCCAAGCTTGGGACAGAAAACAATCATGCAAGTGTCTCTCCACAGAAGCTGTTGTCAGTGGGGCGAGCTGTGGGCTGTCCCTTTAATGCCTTTGATTTAGTTAGACTGGCAAGGGTCCTGACCCTGTGAGTCAGTGCATGAGTGCCCACCACGTGCCAGGCACGTGCCAAGCTGTCTGATGGGGGATGATTTTATTTCCAACCGGTCCAAAGCAATGTTTTCCTGGCTGTGTTGGCATAGCAACAGTTATAACCCCTCCCATGTGCCTTGCGTCAGACCTGCAAGGGTGCAGGGCTGTACACTGCCTCCCTGCTTCCTGCAGACCAGCTCTTCCAGCTACTTCTCCAGCATCCAACCTGAAACAGTACAGCTCAGGGCCCAGCGCCCTGCAGGGGAGGTGGACATTGCTGTTGTGGTTTGCTCTGAAAGCAGAGAAGGCGGCAAAAGAAAAATGAGCAATTTAGACTGCTGGGTTGGTGTTGCTTAGTTATAAAGGGAAGAGAAAATGTGTGCCAGCACCAAGTTTAGACATTAATAAGCAGAAGAACTGCAGTGATAATAGTTTTTAAACAAGAGCACCCTTTGTGCAGTGCAGCCCCTTAGATGCATGTGCTCCATGTGCTCTGCTGTGAGAATTCTGGGTGGGGAAAAGGGAATTGTGTGGGGCTCATGAACACTGGGCAGCTCCAGTGTCCCTGGGTGTCCTGTCTGTTGCCCCCTCTTGTTTTCTCTTCTGTTCTCAAGTGCTGAGCAAGCCCAGGGCCCTGCCCTGCTAGACAAGTGCTCCAACTCCGAGCTACATCTGAGCCCCAAGTCGCGTGTGCATGTGCCCTTACCTTGGATGGTTTGGTTAGCAGACAGAGCAGGCTGCCTCTGCCGCACTGGATTAAATGATAGTCACTAAAGAGCCTCTGGTTTAAACCCCAGGGATTCCTGGGAGGCAGTGATGCAGGCTGCTTGGCCTGGGAATTGTTGAGAGGCTTAGCAGTGTGCACTTGCCCCCTGGAGTGCTGGCAGCAGCAGCTAGCATAGCCCAAATCCTGCAGGAAAAGTTGGGTGCCAGCAAGCAGCCCAGAGAAATCCCTGCCTTCTTTTGATGTAAATTGTGTTTCAGCAGCGAGGCAAAACCCAAACCAGATAAACCACTTCCAGTTCTAAACAAGAAACGAAATCCAGCAAGCTGTGTCCCTGCCCACAACTATGGAAAGGCAGGCAGAATCCTCCCATGAAAGGGCCAGAGCCACAGAGCTAACATTTTCCCCTCGAAGCTGCAGGAGCAGGACACACCACCTATAGGATTCTAACATTGTGGGCAAGTAGCCCTGCTCTGGGGGAGAAACTAGAATCCTGTGTATGAAGGTACTTCCTCTTTTAAAATTACATGACAAGCCAGATGTAATCTGAGCTACTTGGGAGGTTGAGGCAGGGGGATTGTGAGTTTGAGGCCATACCATGCAACTTTGCAATTTAGCGAGAGCCTGTCTCAAAGATCTGGGGAAAAGCAGGCATGGTGTTGCAGGCCTGTAATCCCAGCATTCAGGAGGCCGAGGCAGGAGGATCCTTGCGAGTTCGAGACCAGCCTGGGCTACAAAGTGAGCTGAAGGCCAGCCCAAACTACATAGCGAGACCCTGTCTCAAAAAGAAAAAAACAACCTGGAGATACACCTCAGTGCTCAGACACTTGCCTTGAATGTGTAAAGCCTCAAGTACTATAAGAAAAAAAAAAGTACATGAGAGGAAAATTAAGAAGGAGCACTGTAGTGCTGGTGAGATAGCTCAGCAGACTGAAGCGTGTGCTTTGGCAAGCACAGGGCCTGGGGTTCGATCATGGTCCTGCTTGCTGTGCCGGCCCTGACCCTGGGGCAGGCTGAGCGAGAGACTTGAGTCCAGGCATGGTGGCGTGCGCCTGTAATCCTAGCTCTGGGGAGGCTGAAAACAGGAGGGCCACTAAGAGTCCAAACTGGGTAGTGAAACCCGGGACCAAATACATAAATGGGGGGGGGGGGAAGGAGCAGTATACACACATATACGTAGCGTTGGTATCATGTTTGGAGTCTTTTCACATGGCTGTTAAAGCTGGCGATTTTCCCAAAACCAGATTTACACTAAGATCATTATTTACTAGGGGAAGTATGTGCAGTTTGCAAAGTGATATTTGGCTCAACAAGTTTAAAAACCATGCATATATTCAGTTACACAGAGCAGAGCACTGTTGGTACAGAGGAGCCGAGCTCTTAGTGTTTTGTTCAGTGTGAAGAGACATTCGTACATTTATGTAGGGATGAGTTCTTACATTCTGAGTTGGGGAGGAATTTTTGCTTGCTTCTCACTGCTGAGAATTAGAATGGCCTCCAGCCAAGCTGCAAGGATTTAGTAAAGCCAGGTGGGCAGGGACCTATAGGTAGAAGAAGAGGCCTCTTTGAGTCTGACAGTGACAGGGAAGGTACCTTGCAAAGGGACACCATAGAATCAGTTCTAGGAATATGACTGCCCGTTGGGTACTCTATCTTTTTCTCCTCCTCCTTTTTGTCTTCTTTTTTACTTTTTTATTTATTTTTTCGTGAAATGATTTATGTAATTCTTTGAAGAAAGTGTTCTTGGATAGTTTCCTTTTGAAGGCTTTTGATGATGTCAAGGCTTGCAAGGGGATATCTTTTTAATTTTTTTTTTAAAGTTTATTTAGTACAGGGTCTTACTATCTTTTTTCTTTTTGAGACAGTGTCTTGCTTTGCGGCTTAGGCTGGCCTTGAGTTCACTTTGTGGCCTAGGCTGGTCTCAAACTCACAAGGATCCTCCTGTGTCAGCCTCCTGGGTGCTAGGATTACAGGCATGTGCTACCAGCCCAACTTGGACACTCCCTCTTGATGTCCCCAGATACCTCGCCACACACCAAACCTTGATGTCCCCAAGTTCCCACGGGAGAAACTTAGGGGGCCTCAGGGTTTTACTGTATAGTTCAGGCTCACCTGGAACTCACTGCATAGCCCAGGCCTTGAGCTTGATCCTCCTGCCTCAGCCTGCGGAGTTCTGGGATCGCAGGTGTGCACTACCACACCCAACTTCATGAGGAATCTTGAAGGATGGGCTTATCTTTCCCGGGTAGGGTGACCACAGGTGGAGGGGCTGCTCTAGGAGGGGTACAGGACTTTCCAGGGCCACCGGGGACTACAAACAGATTAGCATTTTAGAGAGATTGTTATCAGCAGAACAAAGGCTGGATGGACTGGCTGGGCAGAGGACCCAGTTCTCTGGGCTTTGGGAGCAGCCAGGCTCTGGTGTTGACCCCATGTGCCAGCAGCTGCGGCAGATCAGAGCCCGCTGGGCGGGTGGCCTGCGGGAGCCTGAGGCTTCCCCTCCCACCTGCCCGGTGCCCTTCAAGGACTCAAGTGCAGGGACAATGTAGGGGAAGGGAAGCTGACATAGGGTCACAGGGGCCTGGCGTGGGGAGCAAGGGGCCTGGGCCCGCCAGCAGCTGCTTCTCATACCGCTCACTCTTCCTCCTGTGCTGCCACTGTTCCTCCTGCTGAGGCACTGGGTGAGGCTTTATCCTCTTGCCACAGTTTACAGACGCATGTTTAAAAACAATGCTGGAAGCCCAGTATGGTGGTGCTCAGCTGTGAGCCTGGGACACTCGGGAGGCAGAGGCAGGGGGATCGCTGCAAATGAGCTATACTGTGAGATTCTGCTGAAATCTTGCTGTACTTCCTTCCAAATCCAAGCCTTTTGTTTATTCTTTTTGTTTATTTATTCATTTATTTTGGTACCAGGAATTGAACTCAGGACCTTGCACTTGCCAGGCTGGTCCTGTGCCACTGAGCTATGTCCCTGTCCCCCAAATCTCAACCTTTTAAGCATAGTCAGATCTTATTAAAGTTGGCATAAAAACCACAAGAAAACAGCTTCTCCCCAAACAATGTGAGGACAAAGTCCCCCTGCAAAGGATGAGGTCGTCCAGAGCTGGTCACCCATGGTGATGTAATCCCATGGAGAGAACTTTGATTTTCTTTCTTTCATAATGCCAGCAAACCTGTTTGTTGGGGTCGGCCCTGGGTTTGATATTTGTCTTGGTGATCTGAACGAGGAAGCCAAGGACACAGGCTGTGTGGCTGCCCGGAGCAGCATGAGCCCTGGCGCCAGGGCAATGATCCCGCAGAGTGGCTGCAGGGGAAGGCACCCTTGGGGGTTCTCCTGGGCTGGGGCCCAGCCTGCGCCTCAGGCCACATGTGTTGGAGGTGAGGACATGGTGTGCAGCTCAGAGGAAAGGAGGTGAGGTGCACGTTTGGGCTCCTCGGGGTGATTGTTTGGGAGCCAGCACTGTATTTAGGGGCAGAGAAGCACGGGGCCTGGTGCCCAGGGCTCTTCCTGGAGGAGGCTGTGCAGCCAGGGATGGAGGGGAAGGGGAGCTGTGGGGTAGGACCAGTGCCTGGGACTCCAGGGAAAGGGCGGAGCACTGCCATCGGATCTGGAGACTACTCAGGCCCTTCTTACCATCCCCCCTTCTTACCATCAACTGGAATGTGTGAGAGCCCCCAGAACCTTGGGGAATGAAGAAAGTGGTAGAGAGAATAGAACACGAACGTCGTGGGGTGTGGGGTGAGGAAGCAGGTAAGTGGTGTTGGGCTCGAACCCAGGACCTCGCCCAGGTGGCAATGCCCTGCCTCAAGACACCAGCCAGCTCGAGGACCTGTAAGAGGACAGGCAGATCACGGAAGGCACATCCCACCCAGAGCCAGTGTCCCCATGAAGGACACGCCAGTCATAGCTATGCTGCGATGACCGAGCGTCATGTGGTCATCGCAGTGGCTGGGCCCTGTGACCTGCTCCTAGGCTGGCTGTGTGTGGTCTTATGGCTAGAGGGAGACAGTGGGCCTGAGCTGCGGGGTGCTCAGGGGCAGTGAGGAGAGAGAAAGCTGGAGCCCGCGTCTCCCTGGAGCCGGAGAAGCCAGGCTGTCTGCACAGCGCCCTCTTGTGTCTGGCACCGTGCCTGCCTGGCCGGAACTGTTCAGAGGTTGCAGCGGTGTTCTTGGGGACCCAGGGCCCGGGGCGCAAGGCCCCTGCCCTGAGGCTGGATGGAAGCTGTGATGGAGAGTGTGTCCCGGAACCTGACCATGCAGGCCAGCACGCACAATATGAGGCCCAGGCCTTGGCTTGAGACCCCACCAACTTGCGGTTTCCAGTTTCACCCAGTGTAGCATAGCTATTCAGTCCAATGTCACAATGTGGCACCCGCAGCTTCTTTGAGGAAGGTGTTGATGGTGGCTCTTCTAAAGGTGGCCATTTCTAGATGACCCCAAGCAGCTGGGACCTTAGGCATGTGCCACCAGCCCTGAAGCTGGGTGGGCTCCTTCGGATGCAGCTCTACCACTTACCACCCTAGCTGTGGCAAATGGGTCATAAGACGTAGAGCCTAGGGGGTCTCAGGAGGATTCAAGGAGATGGTGCCTGTAAAGTACTCAGCACTCAGCGCCTAACCCAGAGGCTCACTGCTCAGTGCCAGGCTGTGAGCATCAGCAATCATAGCCGCTTGGGCTTCCTTTCATTGGATTCTTGCGCTTGCTCTGTGGGGAGAGCCAGGCCCTCAGAAGCACTCTTGGGAGAAACTGACCCTGGCCCCGTACCTGGTGCTGGAGAGCTGTCAGCCTGGTCTTTGGGTGGGCAGAGTGGTGTATGCTTGTGACCGCAGCTAATCAGGAGGCTGAGGCAGGCGGATTGAGGGTTCAAGGCCAGCCTGGGCAACTTAACAAGACCCTGTCTCAGAGTTTAAAAGGGTTGGTGAGAACAGCTCAGTGGTGGAGTGCTTGCCAAGCATATGTGAAACCTTGGGATCTTTAGCATGAAAAAAAAAAAAAAAAAAAAAAAAAGCCATAGTCTTAGGCACCCAGGACTTTATTATTTCGTTCTCAAGCAGTACCTGTGGATGCCATGCAGGTGGTGGTTAGTGCCAAGTTCCTGGGAAGCCGCCGGCTCTGTGCAGTGCCTCCTCCCTCAGTGCTCGGTGGGCCTCGCTGTCCTTAACACCTTGCCTCCTGGGGTGCAGTGGGGACATCCCACTGGAGCCCTGAGAGTCCGCTCTGCGCTGCCATGTAGCTGAGGCTGCCGACCACCCAGCCTCGGGCTCCAGCTGTGGGCTTTGGTGACACTCCACTCTTCCTCCTCCTCTCTTCCCTGTGCTCAGAGTTACCAGGGAGCACTGTGCTTTCTACCTGGTGGACTACCTTGTCACCAGAACTGTACCCGGCCATTTGGCACTGCTGCTGGCTGCAAGCACTAGAACAGCTGCGATCGCTTCCTGAGCCTGTAAGGGTGGCGCATGCAGCTCCCACACAACCTAGAGGGGGCAGTACCCTCTGGCCCTCCCCAGGGTGTGGGTCACACCCACCAAACCTGTGCCTTTGCAGGGTGCAAGAACCCTCACGCCAGGTATCGGGGTCCCTCTTTTCCTGGCACATCTGCCAGGCTCACTCAAGGTCCTGGGCAGGAGGCACCAGAGAGCGGAATGAGATCCAGAGTTAGTAAGCTCTTTGGCTGGGACCTGAGATGGCGTCTTAGGCTCCAGGGCAGGGGTTCTTTTGGGAAGGGACCAGCTTCAGAACTTTGTCTCTTTGCAGCAGCACAGGGGCTGAGGAGAGTGGTTCTACCTGTTTAGTATGATGGGCACCGAGGCTGGGCCAGCGGTTCTTCTGTCCCGAGGAGGCCAGAGGGTTACTGAGTCGTTTCCATCCGCTCCTGCAGCAGGGTGGGCTGAGCTTGTGTAAGTTCTGAGAAGAAATCTGTTTGATTTTGTTTGAGACAGCGTCTCCCTATGTAGCCTGGGCTGGCCTTGAAATCACAGCAATTTTCTTGCCTCAGGATTACAGGTATACTCTACCATGCCTGAAAGGTTTAAAGGAAGCTCACTTTAATTTTCTAAAATGGGAAATGTGGGTGTGGCCGAGTTGTAATGCACACTTGATAGCCTTTGCTGTTTGTCTCTTTCAGGAGAACTACCCCATCCCAGAACCCGGCCCAAACGGTAAGTCCTGGGAAAGAGAACTGGGGGACTTTCTTAGCTCTCTACCTTGGAGACCATGCATTGTTCCCCTGCTCTTCTTTTCCCATTAGTGCTGTTGCTTCCTTTAAAACAAACACGACTCTGGGGCACTGGGGCCGGCAGATGGCAAGTTCAAGCCCAACCTGAGCAATTTAGTGACTTGGCAAGATCCTGTCTCAAAATAAAAAATTAAAAAAGAGCTGAAGGTGGAGCTCTGTGTGAAGTACCCTTGATTCAGTCCCCAGTATTATTTACTTACTTATTTTTGAGACAGGGAATGTAGGCCCAAAGGCAGAGCCAGTCCTCTCATGACCTATGACCGCATGCCCTCTGTGCCATATGGGGTGGCCAGTCGCACCCGCGCCCTAACCCAAACACTGAAAAGCAGTGAGTCCACAGAGCTTAATCCTTTAATCAGCACATGGAGCGCAGGGCCAGCACTTCCAGGAAGGTCGGGGACCGTGGGCTGGGGTGCCCAGGAGCAGGAGGCTCTGCAGGAGCCCGAGTCAGCCAGCCCATGTGGGTGCACCAGGACAGGTGCCTGGCCCCTCTGTGCCCCTCCTGTAGACTCGAGCCCCGAAGCCCCTTTTTCATCGGGAGGGCCATGGGCAGAGCATCTGCAGACCACTGGGCCTGGCCATGTGGGTTGCCTTCCTGTTGTCGATGATGTGGTCTGTGTCCCTACTGCTGCCCCTGTGCCCAGCTTCACCCCATCGAGGTGAAGGCCTGGAGCTTTGCTACGCAGAAGTCAGCGAGCTGTTGACCGAGCGATAAGACAAGGCCTCATATCGCTCCTGAGCAGGCTCTGTAGATTCAGGGCTTACACACTCTGCTCAGGATATCATGTTCGCAGAGGTGAAGGAGACATCTTGCTGTGTCCTGAGACATGGGTGTTGGTTCCAGAGCTGGCCACAAAGGGCGCCCTAGACTCAGAAGATTTCCTTGTCTCTTACCGGCTGGCCTGGAAGGGTAGGAAAGAGTACAGCTCAGCAAAACCCCTGCCAAGTCCGATTGGATTTTTGTGGGGGGTGTGTGTGTGTAAGTGGGGATCGGTCCCAGAGCCTTCTCACTGAGCCACATCCCCAACCTTTTGTGTTTTTTAACTTTGAGACAGGGTCTCAATAAATCAGTCAATTGTCAGGGCTGTGATTGGCCTGTGATTCTCCTGCCTCAGCCTCCTACAGTGAGTGCACTGTGTGTACCATCACACCAAGCAAAATTTTATATTTGTGTGCTGGGGATTGAGCTGAGGAGCTCAGAGCTGCTCAGCCAGAACTGGACCACTGGGTCACAGCTGCAGCCCTACCTCCTTTTTGAATATTACTTATTTACTTACTTTCACATTTTTGTTGAACATAGCTGACAAATACATTGAAGGTGTACAACATTACATTTCGAAGTACATAAACACTGTGAGAGATTACTCCAGCCAGGTGAGCCAGTGCTTCACGTACTTACAGCGATTCTTAATTTCCTTCACTTGAAAACACTTCCTACTAGCACAAGCTAGAAGATGTTCTTAAACAAAAAAGAAAAATGTGCCAGCCTCTCACCACCAGAGACAGATTCCCCTCAGGGAATTCAGCCGCCATCACGCCCTCTTGCACTTGATCTCAGCCGAAAGCCCAAGAAGTGGTGGCCATGGTCTTTCACTGATGCAATTAAGAACTTTAAAAAAAAAACAAAAAACAAAAAAAACTTTTCCAGCCCCGTTCCCCCATCTTCCCTCCCCCTGCATTTTTAGTCATCTGTGTCAGATTCCACATCTTAGGGGAGGGGCACAGCCACATCTGACCTCCTAACTCCCTGAGCGAATGCTGCAGCAACTCTCCTGGTACAAGTGACTTCGCTGCCTCTGATCTTACCATTCACCCTGCCATTCCTTACTCTGTTCCCCCAAAACAAGGACAGAGGCTGCTGTGCACACACACCTGCTGGAGGCCACTAGCAGTCACGCGAACGTCACCTGTGAGACGTCTGACAGCACCGCAGAGGTTGTGCGACCTGCTGGCTTTCCAGGCATAGCTGTCACACAGCCAGGGAGACCCTTGTAATGTAGCCTGCCTGCCCCCTTCTCTCTCTTTCTCTCTCTCTCTGTTTTTGGAAAGAGAGGGTCTCACTGTATAGCTCAGGCTGGCCTTGAGCTCATGGTTATCCTCCTGCCTCAGCTTCCTGAGAGCTGGGATTACAGGCGTGTGCCACCATACCTGGCAATGTTTTTGGGTTTTTTTCCCCCGGAACCGGCAATTGAACTCAGGCCCTCGCACCTGCCAGGCAAGCGCTTATTCTACTGAGCTATCTCCCTGGCCCAATGTGGTCATTTCTATCAGACAAAACTGGTAACCCTTCAGTAGTTCTTTCAGCTGACAGGTTCGGAGGCATGATTATTTTAAACTTAGAAACTTAACAAAAGCAATAGATGTGGTCGCTCATGCTCCTAATCCCAGCAATCAGGAGGCTGAGGCAGGGGGATCTGTGTGTTTGACATCCGCAAGACCCTGTCTTAAAAACAAAAAAGCAGCCCCATCGCATGTCCCTTTACTTGAACCCTTGGAGGGGACATGTCAGTTGAAATTTTGGGACATTTTTTTTAGCTTTGTAGTTCAGTCTGGCCTCCAACTCGTTATGGAGGCCAGGCTGAGCTTGAACTCATGGCAACTCACCTGCTTCAGCCTCCTGAGTGCTGGGATTACGGGCATGTGCCACCACACCTGGCTGGGATAGTTTAAATGAAGCTGCACCTGTTTAGCAAACAGTGTGCACAAATAATTCCACGTGAGCTCCCGTGTGCTGCCGCGCTGAGATTCTGCCAGCCCTGTTCTCAGAAATAGATGAGACTCTGGCACAGCGTGGTCGTTTTCTGGGATAGTTATCTCTGGGGAAGAAACAGTTTGTTCTCTTCCTTCTTCCTAATATCTTGTTTACACCGTGATTGCTCAGATTCCCCAGACAAACAGAACACACAAGATACGTGTGTATGTGTACACGTGTGTATTATGGAGGTGGGGGTGGGGAGAGCAGCGGGAAGTTTGTTTTAAGGACCTGGCTCCAGTGATCCAGGACGCCGGAGGTTTGAACTTCGCAGGGTAGGGCAGCGGCCTGCAAAACTCAGGCTGGGTTTGTATTCTACAGCCCCAAGGGGAATTTTTTTTCCTGTAGGAAACCATAGTCTGGGCCAGGAAGATGGCTCAGTAGAATAAGCGCTTGCCTGGCAAGCGCAGGGGCCTGAGTTCAATCCCTGGTTCTGTAAAAAAAAGAAAGAAACCATAGTCTGCAGTTAGGACCTTCAACTGATTGGGTGAGGCCCATCCTGGTATAGTTCCTAAAAAGTACCTTCACAGCACATGTAGACTGGAGTCCAACCAATCAGACACCAGCACACACGCGCTCGCCTTCCTCTGTGGAGCTTTTCTGTCCTCCCTGTCCCTCTGCGGTTGGAATTTGCGGTGAGGCTGCCCTGCCCTGAAAGCCAGCTCTCTCCCTTTCCCCAGAGGTGCTGGTGCGGATGCACTCCGTCGGGATCTGCGGCTCCGATGTCCACTACTGGCAGCACGGGCGGATTGGGGATTTCGTCGTGAGGAAGCCCATGGTGCTGGGGCACGAAGCTGCAGGGACGGTTGTGAAAGTGGGGTCGTCAGTGACCCACCTGAAACCAGGTCAGCAGAACTTGGAGGGGCTGAAGCACGCACGCGCACTCGAGAACTTCCACAGGCTCTCGAGTGCGCGTGCGGGGAGGCCTCGCTGAGCCCGGGGCAGCCCGGCGCTGGACGGGCTTGGGAGTGGCAGATGGGCTCGTGTATCAGGCACAGTGCCTGGACGCCAGCTCCCGGGAGAGGGCAGGGAAGGGACAGGGAGACGCCCGGGACCCAGGGCCCCGTGCTGCGAAGCCACCTTCGATGCAGCCTTTGACTTGTGCATACAGGAGAGCGCGTCCTGTCCTGGGCTTGTGCACTTCATTTTCCCACAGGGCGGAATTATCAGCGCTGGCACAGTCCGTTGAGGCTCCAGCTTTGCTCTGCGAGCCAGGCGGCTGATGGCCGGAAGTGGCGTCAGGCTGGAGGGAGGCGTGGGTTGTGCTCGGGCTGTCTGAGCCCAGCCACGTGGCGGGGGTTGGCAAGCTCGTGGGCCTCAGTTTGGATTCCTAAAACAGAGCTGACTGAGCATAGTGGTACATGCCCCAAATCCCAGGACTCTGGGAGGCTGAGGCA